ATAGATGTCTGGATTGGACTCATTTTTAGTGGATTAGGTGTCTGGCATTGAACTTGATTTTTAGTGCAACATCTAATGTTTGGTTAGGACGGGACTGGATAAGGATAAATGTTTAACAATACTATTTTACCCTTGTAATTGATTAACTTTTTATCTTAATATATAATTTTAAATTTTGTAATCTTAATTTCATAATTATAATTTAAACAATACGTAAAAAACAATTTAATTGATAACGGGCCATAATTTGTAAATTTATTATTTTCAATTAAATTAAATTTTTCAATTTCATAAGTTTATATTTATTTTATGTAATAAATTAACCAACAATAAACAAATAATCTTTATTTAACTATAAATTAAATTCTCAACAAACACTAAACAATAATAATTTAATTGATAAGGCCATAATTTATTATTTTTTAAATAAATTTAATTCTATAATTTATATTTTTAAAATATATAATTTTTAACATTAACAATACTAAAAAAATAATTTAGTCTTCAATATGTAGAATTTAATTTTTTACACAACACTAGAAAAAAGTTTAATTCTATACAGGCCATTTACATTTCTTTAATTTATTATTTTTAACTTAACTTAATCTATAATTTTAATTTTTTTTTTTTAATATTATAATTTTAACCATTAACAACACCTAAAAACATAATTTATAGAATGTTCCAAAAGAATTATTGTCTACCATTTTTCATAATTGCCTTGCCAAGTGAATCCGATGGGCGTAAAACTGGAATTTGCAGAGTCTAATCCAATAGGGAATACCCAATCCATGCGGAAATATCTCACACCCCCATCTGGGATAGGATAGTCCCACTAAATATGGGACTAACTAGTTCAGGGAGAGGACTAGTCAGTCCCAAAACAAAACAAATTGAACAAATAATGGACTATTAGTCCCGGTGTGACTTATACATCCCAATTTCCACACCCTAATCCTCAAACACAAACACAACCCTCCAGGGCCGGCCCTTCTGAGTTTGACGGGCTAAGGCGAAATTTTTGAAAATGGGGACCCCTTTTATGTTCTAAAAAAACATCATGAAATAAAGGATGAACGCTACAATTTTTCTTACTTTGTTTGCTTAACCATAAAAGAAATCTTCCTCTACACATCCAATATTAACAATTATACAATAACAACAATTTAAACAAAAACAAAATTAGACATCAAAAAATAGGAAAAACAACTTATTCAATTAAAATTGATAAAGACCTTAGGGCTCAAACAAAATTTGAGCAACAATATCATTCTCAGTCCACCTAAATCTAATAGATTACAAGAAAGGTAAAAATTAACGAAAGATAAAAAAAAATAGCCGGCCCAACTCATACTTGTCTGTATTTAGTCTTCCTTGAGCCCAACACACTTTTTTTTTAACTATATTAGTTTCATTTTTAACTAAAATATGAGCCAAACTACACCTTACTAAATAAATATGGCATGTAAATTATTGACCATGGACCTCAAAAAAAATATTTTGGCGGCCCTTTCAAATGATCCTAAAACCCAACGAAAAATAAAAACAGTTGAAGCCATAACTATTTGCCAAAACTTTTCAGGGACCCTCATGTTATATTATGTTTATATGTTTTAACCAAAATTTAGGGCCCCCTATTGTCTCTTTATCTTATTTTATTTCATACTATTTCATTTTAATCCAATTGGGCCAAACACCATTTATAAATCAAATCTACTGGGCTAGATTATAAATGGGCCCCACTACAAACAT